CAGTGACTGTGGAGTCTTTGTGCTCCAGGTAAAGAAATCTGTTTTTCCAGAATTTAGGATGTGTGAATTAAATTTGTTGGGCTTAGACAGATGGGAGCCCCTGTGGTATGTACCTGGCACTAGGAACAGGTAACAGGATTTCCTCCTTCCCTTCCTTTGTTGATGGGGAGCTGTAGTTTCTGCATTTTCAGATGTTATCATTAGAAGCACCACCTTCTAAAGCCAAGAATGAACAACTGGTATCCAGCTCTTATCAGAGGTTATTAGTAAGGCACAACAGAGACTGACCTGAATCTGTATTGTAGACCCTTGGCATTTGCAGAATTAACTATATTTTTTTAACCATTGGCAAGTGGTCTTTAACCACAGAATAAAAAACTAATTACATTTTTATAAAAAAAAGGCCACATTCAAAAACTGCTTTCTCCTGCTGTGTGTTCCCTTAGTGGTCTTTAACGGGCTACTGAAAATTTTGTTAGACATTATTCTTACAAAGGAAATCGTATATAATTCATGAGCTTAGAGATTTGCAGAGATCATGAAAGATGGGCTCATTCCTCTGACTCATTAATGTCTGGGGTTTGTAAACAAACTCAGGTTCTCACTTAAAGACCGTTAGGTCTAGCTGCCCTCTCCGCACATTACACCTTTAGAATAATTGGAGCCTCTTCATCAGTTTCTGCCTTTCACATATTGTGTGGGCAAAGAGGGGAGACCCCAAGCAATATACTTACTGGGAAAGGTGACTATAATTTGGAGGTCAATGTTTTAAAGCAATGTGTTTTACAACCCAACTTTAAAATGCTGCCTTAGACCCTATTCTGTTAGGTCTGCATCTGGGAAAATACACTGGGCTGCTTCCTAGCTCCACATGCCACTTACGTGTTTCTGGGACCTTTGCAGTACTGCAAGTGCCTCGCCTTAGAGCAGCCTTTCCAGTTTTCCCAAGAGGACATGCCCCGAGTGCGGAAGAGGATTTACAAGGAGCTATGTGAGTGCCGGCTCATGGACTGAAACTCAGCAGGGACTCTGGGAGGTCTGACCAAGTTGAAGCAGATGGTTTGTTACTTGAATCTCCAAACACTTATTTGAATTTTTATAGATATTTCAGATCAGTGGTGTTGGGCCACTATTGTTACCTCAAATTTGTTTTTTGCCCTATTCATTTCTCTAGCTACCGTGTACTATTTTTTAATGTTCAGTTTGGTTTTATTTTTAATTTTATGGATTCCGTGTGTTTCCCCCATATTTAATATTTATTATCCAAACGCATGCATATAGACAGAGCATGCAGTGCAGAGTATTTAAAAAAAAAAAAAAAAAAAAAAGCCTAGTAGATTTGGTGCGGCTTTTGAAACTTAGACGTGAACTGAATACAGGTTTAAAATTTAATCCCAGAACCTAAAAGCACAGGATGTTTTCAATACAACCTAACTCTGAGAATGATAGTTGTTCCCTGGGGCGTAAAGGGTAGCTAGGAGTGGTGGTTTTGACAAAGCCAGTCCTGTTTTACCTGCTGCACCTTTCACTGACTTCCCTCTCCAAGTGAGTCTTGCCGAGTTGCGTTCCTTTTGAAGGGTGAGAAGAAAGTGGCCAAACCTGACTGGGGTGTTGTGTTTTTAGAGGCACACTATATTATAAAGTGCAGTGCCTACTCTGGGAGGAGTGGATGAAGGTGTGAGAAAAAGACAACTTTGGGGGTCCAGTTATATTAACACATGAGAAATTTTGATCTTGGCTTTAAGAAGAATTATAAACAAATTCCTAAATCTTATAAAGGCTTTTGCTGGAACACTGAATTCTCTGGATTTTTGGTTTTGGCCCATTAAAAATGTTAATACCCATTAAACTAGTGGTCAAACACATGAGAATTCAGCCTTTCTAAGTACTTTACAAGTTGTGGTTATCCTTGTGTGATCTCCCATATGGAAGAAATTCAGATTTGCCAAACACCTTTCTTTTTCCAAGGGTGTTTAAAATATTAAATCTTTAAAACTGAAGACTGACCAGGTCTTTTGCAGATGGGTGGGGAGGAGAGAAGAGGAAGGGTAACAAGACTTGACTGCACAGGAGCATAGCAGATGTTGTTTTTTTGCTCTTAACCTCTAGTGATCTCAGCAGCATGCGGGGCTCCACATTTTGTCCTTTGCTTAGCTGCATTAGGATTAAAGTAATGGATCTTACATCTTTATTCTAGCCTTTTGTGATATTTGAAAGGAAGGGGAATCCAGAAAGATGCATGTTAAATTACCCAATTATCTTTTGAACTGGGGCAGAAAAAAACACAAAGGTGTAGGTAAGAATCTCAGAAGCTTACACAGAATACCAAGTTAATGACAGAAGATGCTTGGCATTATGCTGGTTAGGTGTGGGGTATTGAAAATAAAAAGCTAAAACGTGCAGTTTAACTTGGCCAGAAGGTGAGGTTGCCAGCAGTTGAGGGTAGAGTCCTAACATGTTTACACGCAGGGTCCCCAGCCCCCAGATATTCTAAGCACCAACACCCAAGTGTTTACGTTGTAAAGAGCCCCAGCACTCTCCAGAGCCCTCTGGACTTACTGTAAAACCAGGTCAGTATTTCTGACTGAGATCAGAGGCACTTTATGCTGCTACAGTTAGGGTTATGTTAGCATTAGCAAAGATGGCCATTTAAGTGGGGAGGATATGTTCTTGAGGTTTTCCTACATGATTACCCAAACGTGAGATTTTTTCAGATCTGTATGTAAGACATTTGCTTAACTTTTGCGGGGGAGGGGAGGGAGGTAGTTATACAAAGTAGCCAGTATAACTAAGCTGTGGATTGACAATATCTTAAACTTTAGAACTCCAGCTCACCTCCTCACCGACAGAACGAGGCATGTAGAAAAGACACACACAACTGTGTTCTGAATCTTCACGCCCAAAACTTGAGTTGCCATTTCCTCCAGTCTGAGAAATGGGTCACCCTCTGAGGCAAGCAGGGGTGCGCATAGGTAACTAAAGCGAACTGTCCAAGACCAGCTTCCCTTTCACTTCCAGTTTAATAAGGCAGCTTGAGGTGCATTGTCTGGCATGCTTTTGCCTAAATGTCAAATATTTTACGAATCTGGTTCAAAATGTTTCTCTGTTCATGAAACTTGGGTTTCATGACACATATAGTCGCTTTTCCCCCTATTCTTGTGACTAGGTGTGAACCTCTATTTAGTCCAAGCCCTCTATCAGAAGGGCCTTTGTCCTCATGTTTGCAATAATTTCTTCCTTGCAACAAAGACATTTTTGAAATGTAGTCTGGGCTGCTGGTGGAAGAGGCAGGCATTGTTTTATTGTCACTAGCTTGGCATTGAATTGTTTGGGTGCCCACAACGTGGGCAGCCCTTGTGCTTTGGGGGTTGAGTGCAGGCCTTGTACAAACTAAAAGCTGCTTACGATGTGCCTTCAAGCTGTGCCCAGTCCTGTCCATCAACAAACTTACTAGTCTGTAGTTATTTCTTTCCAGTGATTTGTCCTTATGTTAAATCTGTAGCAATGAATGTAGATTTAATTCAACTTTTATTTGAGTTCTCTTAAGAAAGGGGACCTCTTAAGGAAGGGAAAAGCAGCAGTTGCTGCCAAAAGTCCACAAATCACTTTTTGGTTTTGCATCGTATTTATCACTGAATATGAGTGACACCAGTCATGTTGGATTCATAGTTGGAACAGAACAATAGCCCTAACTGGGACACAGCCAGCACTAGTCTAGAGCTGCCCTTTTTCTCTGCAGTTTTGGTTCACTGCTTCCCTGGGTTAGAAGTGCTGACTGGGAGAGCTCTGGGTGAATCAGACCCTTCAAGCGTGTTAATAGTGTGAACTGAATATACTGACTACCTGCTCTGCTTAATTATGTTAAGAAACCAAACTAATCAGCAGTTGTAAAGCACCTGCTTTTCTTATGTGTGAGGCTCTGCCTCCTGGCCTATAGATAATTAAGACCTAGGGACTGTACCATCAGAGAAGTGCTAATTGTATTTGGGTGTTACAGAAACAGCCTAGATAAGCTGTTCACTTAAATGGTACCTTTTGGTCAGAAAAAGAATTTATTTAAAGATTGTGATCATGTAAAATTACTCAAACCTTCTAGCAAAAATATTTTTTTGAAAAATAAACTAAATGCCTTTATAAATGTGTGTTCTCTTGAATAACATGTACTGTTTGGTGAGTAGTTTCTCAAAGGGATGCTCTCCTCAGGACAAGGCTCATTTATGAGCAGTGACCAGCAGCCTACCCTTAAATAACACCGCCCAACAGAGTTTTCTGCAATGATGGCAGTGTTCTCTGAGCATAGCTGGTGGCTCCCGTGTCAGGTAACTGTCAAATCAAAACGGACATGCGCAAATTCACCTCACTCACGGATAGTCCAGAGTACGTGTTCCAGTGTCACCGCTGCATAGGTGAGGCAGTGGGCAGAGACAAAGATAACTTGGTCTGACAGTGCAAACAGGAACCACGGTCTGTGGTTTTAAGGCCTGTAGAAATCTGAGTTCTATTTTACTACAGAATTCTAAAATACATTAATTCAAACTACAGTGTAAAAGAAATTTTCAAAATGATTATGTCCTCATTAAACATCTGCAAATGGTTCTTTCCTAAGCACTTAGAACTAGTTATAGCTCTTTTTTTTTTTTTTTTAAAGATTTTATTTATTTATTTGACAGAGAAAGACACAGCGAGAGAGGGAACACAAACGGGGAGTGGGAGAGGGAGAAGCAGACTCCCTGCCAAGCAAGGAGCCCGATGCGGGACTCAATCCAGGGACTCCAGGATCATGACCTGAGCTGAAGGCAGTCGCTTAACCAACTGAGCCACCCAGGCGCCCTAGTTATAGCTCTTAATCCAAATAATCAGCTTGAACTTAGAGAACCTGTACTTACTATAATGTGAAAGATGTTCACATTGAGATACGTCAGCCCCAACTTTCAAAAACTCTAGTGAATTAGGAGATACTCTGTTGCTAGATGAAAAAATTTCACTTACGTAAGGGAAAATTATATTAGACTAAGTTTAATGAGCAACAGTTGATATATATTAATCACCTTGTGCCTTACAAATGCAAAATAAATTTGTAGACCCCCCTTCACAGAGACTACCAGCTCACTATACAGGCTCTGAAGCTCGGTAAGCACAATTAGAGGAAAAAACAAGACAGACTTCAAATGAAAATTGGCTGAAACACATTTCCTGTGGGAAGCAATTTTGATTGTTCTTGGTAAGTGTTCTCTTGATTTTTCAAGCTCTTTTTTAAACCCAGTCCATTCCTGAGATCACTCTGAAAATGAATCTTTAAGTAGAACACATCTTTTGAAAAATGTGTACAGTAAATACTAGTCAAGTCTTAATACATAAAGCACATAAGCTGGTGGTATCTCCTAGGACAGTCTAAGGCTTACTTTTGCATCAACAATTGAGGAAGTTCCCTTGACTCCTCTAAGTTTGCCTTTAGAGATTAGAACTCAACACAGAAAACAAACTCAGTTGTCAAACATCTTACTAATTCAGAACAATACAACATAGCAAAACCCCATTTACTACATTTTTATTTCCTGCAAACTTAAAATTTTTGAGGCCCCAGTGAAGACCACGAACCTATTATCAATTTTTAAAATTTTCCAACTTCCTAAAAAAAGTGTAGTGTTTTGGGCTGATAAATCTGTTGCCACAGAACACAAATTCTGACCTGGTGACATAAAATCATTCCAGCAACCTGACGTATGGCCAAGATTTAAAGGCATTCTTTTGGATTCTGTCCTTTAATAGTTTTCAAAGGACAACCATGAAATGGCTTCGAGCTCAGTAGAGACCTTGATCAAAACATGTTAAAAGTGGGCAGGTTTGCAGACCTTGGGTAATGCATGGCAAATTCAACAGGCCAAAGGAGTGAGTTTTCATGATGGGGCTCTCACCACTCATTGGTTTTGGGCCAGTTTTCCATAGCCTCCTCTCCCAGCATCATAGTCCTGCCGATACTCATCTCGTACCTTAATTGAAAAGAACGTAAGTTACATTATAGAGGAGATTGGTATAATGAATATGCCTCCCACAAACACATCAGCAGGCAAACTGTTAAGCCTTTTCAGGTGTCATAATGTGAACATTCAGGCAGGACCTAACATTTTTTTGAGCAACAGATGTAAAGCTCAACTGCCTTGCAAAATTAAGATTACGTGGGGCGCCTGGGTGGCTCAGTCGTTAAGCGTCTACCTTTGGCTCAGGTCGTGATCCTGGGATCGAGCCCCGCATCAGGCTCCCTGCTCAGCAGGAAGCCTGCTTCTCCCTCCCCACCCTGCTAGTGCTCTCTCTCTCTCACTCTCTCTCTCTCTCAAATAAATAAAATCTTTAAAAAAAAAAAAAAATTATGTAATGGTTTTGTTTGCTTACTTAATAAACTCTACGCCCAACATGGGGCTTGAACTCATGACCCCGAGATCAAGAGTCACATGCTCTACCATCTGAGCCAGCCAGGCGCCCCTGCCTGTTTTTTTTTTTAAACCAAACATCATGCTCATACTCAATAGCATTCAAAAGTAGCATATTCCAAAAAATAAGTACTTAAGCTATTTTAAAATTAAAAACTTAAAATTTATTTCAATGCATTTTCCTTTTGTTCTAGACACTTACAGGTACAAAATGCCCCTAGCAGAAGTCCAATAATGGTTACTTGTGAAAATGTATAGAATCTATAATTTACCAATCCTAATGGGTAGTTTTCAGAGTCACTTCAAGCCAACGGTTATAGGCACAAAATTATTTTCTAAAAGAGCAAACACAAAGTGACAAAGCCCTTGTCACTAGGACTGAGATACCAGGCAAAGACTGAGCCAAGAGAACCTTCCTGCATACCTGGCCCCCAGATCGCCCACGGCCATACTGCCTTCCCTCCTTAAAGCCTGCGTCCCAGTCTGTGCGAATGATCCGGTCATCCAGACGAGTTCCGTTTATGTACCTCATGGCATTTTCTGCATCTGCTCTTGAATAGTATCTTAAGTGTAAGTATTAAGGAACACTATATAGCATTTCTCCAAACATTTTTGGAAATACAGAAAACAACATCTAAATGAAGCTGAGTTGTTAAGAAACAGTACAAAAACAAATCCAACCAGATGGATTTCAAAGATAGTAATTTGGTTTGCACAAGCCTGTTTGAAGTTGGTCCAGAAGCACTTAAAGAGTCAACTATGATTTATCCAAGGCTACTGATCGTGATTTCCTAGATAATCCTGCTGATAATTATTTGGTTCCATTGTCCCCATATTTTGGTTTATAAAGTATAAATACGTTCAGTGCAGGTTTAGAGCACAAAATGCACACTTCTTATCCAAGGAAACAAAAGCATCCAAATTTGGAACTGTATATTCAACCTTAATAAAAAGAGAAGGTTACAGTGCATATGGAATTGCTGTTGCATTTCATTAGAAGGAAAGACTCAGTATCCTATTACTCAGGTTAGGTGTTCCCAAACCTATTTAATCAGATCCACTCAATCTACCTTTGGAGTGATATTAAAATCTATAAGCAATTATCATTAGCTGGGTTCAGGGAAATGCGGAACTCTACTGTCTTCAATTACACGGGTGGGGAAGCACTTGCTGAAATTCCAGTGTCCAACACCTACACGATGCCTAGCACATAATGGGCATTCAGTAATTTTTTGCTGGATGAATGACATGATAAAAGGGCAAAGTGAGAAAAAACACTGGCAATGGCAGCCTCTCTTGGCAATCATCTGCTATTATGATTGTGGATCTCTGACACACACGACAAATGCAGAAGCATTCAGTTCTCAGAGACTGAGTATTACCTACAAGGTGGACTTGCTTTGTGTCTTCTCGTTCTCCCTGTACCCTCTGAACTTTGATGCTATTGGCACCTGAGGCGGATGTAAAATCTGGGCACTCTTGTCTCTCATGTCTGAAGGGGGATGGAAGAAGCTTGTAGAGCCCAGAACTCAGACCCCAAAATCCAAAGTTTGGAACAGGTTCGAAAGTAGGGCTTCTAGTTCAAGCTAACAGAGTAAGAACATTTCTCATATCCTTTTCAAGACCCCATTAAAATGACAGAAAAGATATATACAGCCAAAGAACAGAAGAGGCCCTCAGCAAACTAGAGGTTCAAGAAAGTGAAGGAAGAGTGCTAATGGATGAAACAAAGTCACAGTTTGAAATATTCTTAATTTTTTTTTAAGATTTTATTTATTTGCGAGAGAGAATGAGAGACAGCATGAGAGGGAGGAGGGTCAGAGGGAGAAGCAGACTACCTGCCGAGCAGGGAGCCCGATGCGGGACTCGATCCCAGGACTCCAGGATCATGACCTGAGCCGAAGGCAGTTGCTTAACCAACTGAGCCACCCAGGCGCCCCACAGTTTGAAATATTCTTGAAGGGGCTTAAAGGAGACAGCAAATAGGGTTTAATTAAAGGTCTGTATGTGGGAAGATGACCTGCTAGCAGGAAGGCATTTAAACCCAGGCAAATAAAAACAGAACGACAGAGTTTTGAACAAACCAACTGGAGGAACCCTATAGGGTAGTGTCTTTGATGTTAGTAAGTCAAAATAAAATCCCTTTTCATTCTGGCATTTAGGAAACCCACGTTTACCAAAGGCAGGGCAGCAACTTGAGAGTTGCCTGGGCCCACAAAGTTAGCCTTCTTTTCCCTAATTATGTCTGGGAACCTAGGGATCACCAGATATTTAAGGAAAATTTACAGCATAAATACAACCTCCCCCTCCCCCAGAAAAGAAAAAAAGTTCCCCGGTAATTTGGGGCACAAACAAAATTTTTTGAAACATGTTAGATGAGGTCTGGGAAATTTCTCAGAAAATAAGACAAAGTGACCAAAAAAGAAAATGTTAGGAGAAAAAAACCCCAAGCAAAAAATCCAGGAGGTCCAATATTTACAGAATTTTCAGGGAGACGATAATTTGGTTTTGACCTTATGTAAAATCAAGCTATATACATCTACATAATGAAATACTATACAGCCATTTAAAAAAGAGGTAGACCTGTGTGTGCTAACATAAAACAATCTCCAAGGTGGGGAAAAAATAGTGCATGCAGTATGCTACCATGCATCCACAGGATCACTGCTGGAAAGATACCCGAGAGCCTGGTAACTGTCTGGGTTTAGAACAATACAGAGGTTTTATTTTCCCTATACCTTTTGTACTTTTGTAAACACCATGAGCATATATTTTCAAAAGATTGTTTCTTAAAGAATCAATTCTAAACAAAGCATGGATTTCAGAACAGAATGTAAATGTTAGCAGCTTTTACAACACAAGAGTGTGGACACACTGGGCAGAAGGTAAGAGCTAGATGAAGGAAGGAGAGGTAAAGTACAGGGATGCTAATTACTGGATGGTCTCACTCATTTTCTTAAACTAGCCACTCTTGGCCCCACCCTCACCCAACAGCTACACCAGACACACAGGAAGGATACTCCACAAAGCAGAACCCACATGCTGTTTTCTTCATCTTATCCAGGCCCATAATGATTTTCTTTATGTCACCACTTTTGCTGAAGAGTTCATAGATTTGTTCTTCAGTTGTGTAAAAGGAAAGATTTCCAACATACAATGTACAGCTCTTCTTCAGTAATTTTTCCTGTTCTTCATTGTCACCCTGGAATGTCAAATAGAGAAAAAGTTCAGCAACACAATCTAAGAAGAGTCCTGCTTAAATAGCATTCCCAAGTATGGCAAAAACTGTCATTAATTCTAATTTGGGAATCAGCTCTCGTCAACCCAGTCTACCACAAATCCCTTGCCAGAGAAAGAGAGAGAGAGAGGTGTTCAGATTCTGTGACGCACTTCTGCAAGTCCAGACTGCCTTCAGGAGACAGCCACAGCTTAAGGGTCATGTTGCATTAGCCTTCCTCCTGTGCCATACTGCCATGCAGATGGCATGCCTTTTCTCCGCACGCTCCATATCCTCAGCACTGGAACCTCCTCCCATTGCTTGAATTTAATTTCCGCATCTTGAACCAATATACTAGAAAGGGCTTTTTTGTACTGAAAAATAAATGGATTTTCAGAGATAGGGTATCCCTTATAATAATCCCATAGAGAATGTTCAAAACAACTGCTTAGATGGTTTACATGCTCATATATTTTTCTGAGTTTAGGAGAAAATGTAGTGATCACAAAAAATGAGAGATTATGGGGTTTTTTTTTATATAAAAAGGTTCCCTTACCTTTTATTTTTTTTAAATTTACTTATTTTTGTGAGAACAAGAGAGCATGAGAGAGCGCGCGCAAGTGCACAAAAGCAGGGGAAGGGGCAGAGGGAGAAGCAGGCTCCCCGCTGAGCAGGGAGCCCGATGCGGGGCTCGATCCCAGGATCCTGGGATCATGACCTGAGCTGAAGGCAGACGCTTAACTCACTGAGCCACCCAGGTGCCCCGAGAACTTATGTTCTTGACAGGCTTCCTAATTTGGAAGACAGGATGAAGCCAGAGACAGGAATATAACTGGGCTTCAGCCAACCTACCTGACAATCCCTGGGGCTCGTCATGGGCTAGATACGGTATTTTACATGCCTGCACAGAAACCAGTTGGTCGTCCTCGGACCTTCTCTTCTGGCCTCCACACTGGGGAGGACAAATGCTAACTAAATAGAACACCTCCCCACTGACCTGCTCTCAGGCTCTCAGGTTAAGGCTCTAACATCAACCATACAGTGGTATTCCAGTTTGGAAAGGAGCTGAATAGATCTACGCTCAGGCCCCTAGAGCATTTCCCAAGAGACCTCCCTTCTTCATTTACTACTCCATATATAATGCTGGTCCAGTTTCCTTCACTCTGAGAACCAGACTTTGCATTACTTGTCTCTGAAAGCTTTGTAGCACCGAGCCCAGACTAAGAGGTCTCATGTGATCACATCCAGTGGCAGAATGGAGGGATAGAGAAACCGTCTAAAGGAAATCAAAATAAAGGAAAATGATGAAATAAATTATGGTACATCAATAAATAATGTAGGGCGCCTGGGTGGCTCAGATGGTTAAGCATCTGCCTTCGGCTCAGGTCATGATCCCAGGGTCCTGGGATCGAGTCCCACATCGGGCTCCCTGCTCCTTGGGAGCCTGCTTCTCCCTCTGCCTCTCTCTCTCTGTCTCTCATGAATAAATAAATAAAATCTTTAAAAAAAAAAAAATAAATAATGTATACGCATATGCACATGCAGTCACAAGGAACATCTCTTGAGACAGTGATGACCATAGTGAAAAAAGTTACAGAACAACGTGAAGGGTATGCTCCAAAAGAAATTTTTTTTAAAGATTTTTTTTTAAATCTTATTTTACAGAGAGAACACAAGCAGGAGAGCGGCAGGCAGAGGGAGAGGGAGAAGCAGGCTCCCCACTGTGCAAGGAGCCCGATGCGGGGCTCGATCCCAGGACCCGGAGATCATGACCCGAGCCGAAGGCAGTTGCTTAACCAACTGAGCCACCCAGGCGCCCCTCCAAAAGAAATTTTTTTTTTTTAAGATTTTATTTATTTATTTGACAGCGAGAGAGGGAACACAAGCAAGGGGAGTGGGAGAGGGAGAAGCAGGCTTCCCGTTGAGCAGGGAGCCCCATGTGGGGCTCGATCCCAGGACCCTGGGATCATGACCTGAGCCGAAGGCAGACGCTTAACGACTGAGCCACCCAGGCACCCCCAAAAGAAATTTTTTTAGAAGTGTGAATAGAAGTGAGAAGTCTCGCAGGTCAGAGACTTCCACGTATGAAATTGCATTTAATTCTCAGAAGTGAATGAGGTAGATCCTAATTTATTAACTTTGACACCTGAGAAGGCAGTTAAGTAACTTGTTCAAGGTCATACTGCTACTCAGTAGTTGCAGTTGGAATCCAAACCCAGTCTCCCCACCACCACCCCCAAACTCAGTCTTATGCCCAATCCCATACTTCCTTGAAAAGTCCACAGGATAAAGAGTCATTCTACATTAAAAACAAGTTTTCAGAACTTTGGAATGAGACATTACATAAAGTAGATTCATCTTATTTATATCCCTGCTGTTAATGATTTATTAAAATTACCGGGAGGCCTTTTCTTTTTCTTCCCACACATGTAAGTAATCCAAACAAACAGACTATTCCAAACAAACAACCTATAGCTTAAGACAACTGTGGTGTAAGTCCTTACTTAAGGTATATTAACCTGGATTTCACTCAGAGAACATTAGAAGTTCCTCATGACAGTATCTTACTACTATCTAAATAAAGCTACAGGCCTTAGACTACATAGATGAATAACAAGTTGAAACCTTTCACAGTTTTACTCTCATAGGATGCCTGAAATTCAAGATGGTAATGATGTGGAACTTTCTAAAGTAATGAGAACTGTAAAAGTGATAAAAGTGAAAACCGTGCTTGGCATATAGTAAGCATTTAAAAATGGCTGCCTTAGCGAACGAATTTCAGGTCTTCCTCAATCTGGCCTCAAAACAAAATTTCCTTTCCCCTACCCCGCTAACACGTTGTACGCACTCTCCACGCCCATCTTCTACACGCGCTCCTCCTTTCCCATCACAAGCCGTCTCCCTTTTCTGAATCCTCACAGGAGTCCCTTTCCCCTCACCATTTCTGCTCTAGATTATGATTACTTCCCGCCGTTTACAATCCCTACTGGAAAATTAGAAACTCTTAGGGTGCGGAAACCGTCTTCCCTCTCCCTCTAGGGCTTAGCAGGTTTAAGCAACAGTACTCAATAAAAGTTACCTAATAATCAGTGGTTGACGAGTGTCGCTCCACCTCGTCCCCACCTTTGCTGAGACTGAACAGCCTACCTTGAATATTTGCTGCCTTCCCTTTTCCCACATAACCTACAATGACATGGGCCAAACTAAAACCTCCCTCTTCTGAAACCCAGCAGTTCTCTGAACTTGACACCTAGACTCTTAAAGTGCCTCGCTTGGACAGTCCACCTGCCCACTCCGAGGACTCCCTATGGTTGGAGTCAAGGCTCAACTTTGTGTCTCCCAGCCACCGCGTAGAACTCTGTAGGACCGTTCCACTAGACCAAGAAGGAAAGGGCTCCACGCGCCACAGGGCAGATCTAATTTGAAATTAAAAAGTAATACAAAGTACCTGGTTCAGGAAGACGCCCCCTTTCCCCGTACTCCAGGTGTCAAAAGGACACCCCTGCCCCTCATATCACAAAGTCACCTTCCCAAGGCATAGCCTGTGCAAATGCAAGCCACCACTACTACTGCTACCGGAACCCCTCTGCACTGGCCTGGGAAAGGGAGCAGCTGCAAGGGAATGGGAAAGCGAGCCTCAAATTCTCTACGAGATAAGGGGATTCGGTGATATCCAAACGCCCTTTCAGCTCCGTTCCCCAGCAGGCACCGGGGCCTCACTTCGCGTTTCGGGAAACCAAAGAACGGAAAACGACACAATGAGACAAGAGCAAGCCGATTCTCAGCGTTCTGGCCCTGGGCCTTCCCTTCTCGCGGCCCGGCCTCCCTCACCCGGAAGTGCTGGTCCCGGTACTGGCTCAGCTCCACGTAGGAGTCGCTGCGCAGCGCCTTCAGAAGGCCGCCGGACATAGTGCAGAGAGGTGGGCGAAGACACCGGCACTCCAGGAACAACGAGGCTGCCGCGGCGCTGGCGGAAGCGGAAACGAGCGGAAGCGGCTGCAAAAGGTGGTCATCCTGTGGACCAATCCAAGCGCAGCAGTGTCGTCAGCGGGCGGCGCGGGCGCAGACGTGGTCCGTCTTTATTTGTCGCCCGTCGGAAGCGAGAGTGGCGTGCTGCGGGTTCCGGGACGTTCAGAGGATGGTTCTTCGGCGGCTACTGGCCGCCCTGCTGTACAGCCCGCAGCTGGTGGAGCGTCTGTCCGAGTCTAAGCCCATCCGGCGTGCGGCGCAGCTCACGGCCTTCGCGCTGATGCAGGCCCAGCTGCGCGGCCAGGACGCAGCCCGGCGTCTTCGAGCCCTGGCGGCTGGGCCCGCGGGCTCCCTAGGTCGCCGCGCTGCCCGCTTCAGAGACACCTTCACTCAGGAGCTGCGCCGCGGCCTCCGGGAACGCCCGGGGTCACCGCCAGGTAGCCAGAGGGGCCCGGGCGCTAACCCCTAAACCAGGCTGGGCCGGGCCAGGGTCGCCGGCTTTCCCTTCTGGGCTCGACGCGGGCCTCGGCGCTAAGCAGTCATCCTGGGCACTGAGCACGGCTTTGAATCCTGAGTCAGACTGTCGGCTTTCAGAGGTCTCATTCGTCAGAGAGCCCAGGCCAAACCGACATCCCCGGGGAAGCGCTGTGATCGGACTGGGCACGGCGTGAAGAAAGCCCCCCAAGCCCGGGCCCTGATACACCACGTAGAGAGAGCCATGACCCGAACCACAGCCCGAAGGAGTCTGCCCTGTGCGCATGGGACTAAAACTCGTGTTCAATGAAGCCGCCTCTGCGCTGATAGAGCAGCGCGCTACTTCCAGGGGAGAGCATGGATGGAAAGACACAGCTGCCAAAATCCTCTGATTAAATGTGTGAGCCGAGTAATGGGTGTGAGTGTGGTATTTCTCCAGCGAGGTGGGTTAGGGTTCCTGGGGACTATAGGCCCATGGTAATACTCGTTCGCGCATTTGGAGTGCTTACTCTGTGCTGGTACTTGCTAATTGCACTCCGGGCGGGGTTATCTCACTCCTTACAATCACTTTCTTTTCTTTTTTTAAGGATTTTATTTATTTGAGAGAGAGCACAAGCAGGAGGAGCGGCAGGCAGAGTAGGCAGAGGGAGAAGCAGGCTCCCCGGTGAGCAGGAAGCCCGATGTGGGGCTTGATCCCAGGAACCTGGGATCATGAGCTGAGCCGAAGGCAGACGCTTAACGACTGAGCCACCCAGGTGCTCTTACAATCACTTTCATATGAGGAAATGTAGGCCGCATCCTTGCAGAGTTGGGATGTGAATACATGCGTTTGACTCCAAGGCCTAAGTCCTTAACCACAAGTCTCTGTAGCATTTGCCCTGACCTTTAATGCCGGCCTTCATGTCCCCCACCCCGTTATCACCACTGGGCGCTGGACCTGCCTATTACGGAACAAGCTACCTGGATTCCTATTATCAGTTTTAGAGGGTCTGGGATACAATCAAGATAGCTAATGGACCCATGAGTAGGAAATCCATAGTATACAGAAATGCCTTGTCATATGAAGCTTCTGACTGATTTTCTGATCACCTCTAATTAGGCCCCACAATTAATTGTGCAATCTAGAAAGCTTGAAGCCATGGGAGATGCTTTTAGGCTGGTGACCAGCCAGAATTTATATCCTAGCCTTTTTTTTTTTTTTTAAGATTTTATTTATTTATCTGACAGAGAGACAGCGAGAGCAGGAACACAAGCAGGGGGAGTGGGAGAGGGAGAAGCAGGCTTCCCGCGGAGCAGGGAGCCTGACATGGGACTCGATCCCAGGACCCCGGGATTATGACCTGAGCCGAGGCAGACGCTTAACGACTGAGCCACCCAGGCACCCCATATCCTGGCCTTTCTGATAATTACAGAGAAGGAGCTGGATAGGGCCGGAGAGACCTCCTGTGGGGATGGAGAAGCTAAAGTAACATTCCTAATGTTCATACTTCTGATTTGATATCCCATCAGAAGTGCTGCTGTTTAATCCTCTCTGAGGCCCGAAGTCCCACTCCGAATGACCAAAGTCCTGGTTTGGCATCCTACCCTCCTATCCTACCAAAGGACAAATACTCCTCCCAGACCATAGGCAACTCTGGATTCTCCTTTGAGGCTGGCGGTGAGGAGCCTGAGGAGCTTGTTCCTTCTATGGCCTTTCTGCCACATTTGTCTCTGGATCTCAGCGGCAGAATATTAGCAGTCCCCAGCCTGACTCCCTACCCTCAACATAGGTAAGCACACTCACTGGTAGGTCTTTTCTCCAGATGGGCAGGGACAAAAAGGGAAGCAGTGGGGCGCCTGGGTGGCTCAGTTGGTTAAGCGGCTGCCTTCAGCTCAGGTCATGATCTTGGAGTCCCTGGATCGAGTCCCGCATCGGGCTCCCTGCTCGGCGGGGAGTCTGCTTCTCCCTCTGACCCTCCTCCCTCTCATGCTCTCTGTCTCTCATTCTCTCTGTCTCAAATAAATAAATAAAATCTTTAAAAAAAAAAAAAAAAAGGGAAGCAGTGCCGGAAGCAATGAAACTACTGGACAAATTGGTCATTTTGGTAAGGAAGGAGAGAAAGCAAGAGAAGGGGGCATTTGTTTGTTTCTCATGGAGGAAGTGTGTAAGAACTAAGTTCCCTCCATTTTTTAGAGGGAGTCGGAGCAGAGAGAGAAAACGGTCCTTTCTGCTCCAGCTACAGGTCATTTGGATGCCTCCTGCTTCACTGGAGAAGCCTCCAATGATTGTAGTCACTGGCTTGCCATCCCACCAGTTACCCTATTACTGAAGAGAAACATCAAATTCTTCCCACCACCCCCAGTGGCAATCTCCCGGCAAGCTTTTCAAGCTTTTCTAAGTTCTGCCAGAAAGCGAAGCAGGGAAGCAACTTATCCTGCTATCTTGCGGGGCAATTCTGATTCACCCCTTGATGCTACATAGACCTAGATATCAACACTTTATGGACAAATTTATTAGAGGCCAGACCAACAATCTACATGGACTGCTACAACCAATTCCCTGGAATTCCTCCAGGGAATTCTGAGATTGTGGATGCAACTGGGGGAGAGAAGAGGCAAAAGTCCCAAGAAGCTTTGGGACCCTAGAGTCCGGGGTGTCTCCAAGATGGCACTTGGGCAGAAAAGCCATCTTTGGCTGCACAGTAAACAGTAAGTGTTTACTGTGTGCCAGAGATGATGCTAAGCTCTAGGGATAGGAAGACAAATCAGAGGTTCATAGAAACATAAACCACAAGAGCAATGCATTGACATGAATGGGTGCTACGGAATTTAAAAGAGGGAAATGTGCAGTAGTTTGCTGGAGCCAACGTCTACTGGCTCCTGAGAGCAGATCTTTGGCATCTCCTCCCAACTTGGAGTTCAGTAGCATCATTTTGGTAGTTTGAAATCAGCCAAGGTGGGAGTATTTATGCCACGGAAATCGGCCAATGCTACACATGGGGGCTTTTCTGCCCCCAGAGAGTGGGCTGCTGAGCACTGACCGGCATATCACTGACTCTGCTCTTGCTCGGGGCCTGAGGAGGGCGTGGCGCCAAGATGAGCAGCTGCCCCAGAGCGGCACGACCCGGTGCCGTTGCTCCCAGTTGCCCCAAACCTCAGCCAGCAGAAGGCAGGACTAGAAGAGTGCTCAGGCTTGGTCATTAGTATCGGTTTGGTCTCCAGCTCTGCGCTGATTTCCAGCTCGCTGATTCTGTGGCCTGCATGCCGCTTATTCGCAGGAGGCGGTAGGGATTTGAGGAGGGAGGATGAGGACAGGTCGAGTGCCGCAGCTCCTCACGTTGCCAGTGGATTGGCAGCGGTGCCCCAAATGTGGGGAGCACTGCGCCTGGGCTGTGATGGCTTTCACCAGAGCAGCAGGTGCTCCGCTCCATCCTGTGAAGAGGTTTCTGAGCTTGGACAGTGACCAGATCGCATTTAAGAAGCCTCTGGGAGCACCAGAGAGTTCTCAAGTGCAGCCAGCTAACAGCATTGTGTGTTCTCCATTCCCACTCGGGCAGGCTGAGGAGGGAGAACATCTGGGTTCCCCAGTCCCAGAGAATGACCCTTAAAGGGTGAGATGCAGAAAGGTCCCACCCCCTCTCTCGGGGACAGGCGTAGAGGAGGATGGGGAGAAAAGTTCCAGAACTACTTGTTTTGGTAATGAGACAGCAGGCACCAGAGTGCCACACCCATGCTGCTTAAAGAGCTTTGGGACAGATGTGCCTGTTTAGCCAGGGGACATGTGCTGCAGACCAGGGCATGACGCAGTGTTAGCTGGCAGACACCTCTTAGATGCTTTTATCCACTGGAGAGATTGGGAACTGAAGCTAGGTGAGGGGAAGGGGCTTTCTTAAGACCACACAGCCAGGGAGTGGCAGGCAGACCAGGGACTAGACGTCGGGTCTCTGGAGTCGGAGCTGCCTGCTCTCTCTACATCACCACACTGCCTCCTTCCCGGTGACCCAGGAAGCCGGAGGGTTATCATGACGGCAAGAGGTAAGGCGTCCTGGAAGGTTTGAGAGAGGTCATTCAGGAATGTCATTAGCAGATCTCTCTCCTTTCATAACCAGGTGCTCTTACATTCCAAAACATCACAGTGGCTAGAAGGGATAGGGCAGGAACAGACATGGGGCTGTTCACCCGACATTGGTTACACCAGCTTCTTTGGGGACCCTGGCCAGATCTTTGGTCTGTAAGGGGAAAAGGGTGCCAGCTTACCCAGAAGGCAGAGCAGCCAAAGCCTAGGCACAGGAGAGGCAGTAGTGGGAATTGCGGAAGGGAAAGGAAAGGAAGAGAATCAGGGCTCTGCTCCAGCCCAGCTACCCACAGAGAAGGTGGAGTGGTGCCTTCCCCTATGGCTGAATCGTGGGCGGTGGCTTTTCGGTCACATTGTCAGGCTTCTCCCCTAGTTCCAAGATGTGGAGGCTGAGATGGTCCCTCCAAGCCCCGCTCAGCAGTGAGGACAGGGCTGGTGGGTCTTCCAGGGTCAAGTGGGGAAACAGGAGTGTCTCACTCTTGAGAGGGAAGTGGCACTTCTCCATGGCAGGCCTGGCGGTGCCGGGGGTCACCACAAAAAGGCGGCAGAGCCACGGCCCACCAGCCACCTGGCAGGCTGGTTGTCTTGTGAAGTTGTTCAGGGCTCGGCACAGGACCCAGTCCTTGGTCCCGCCCATGTCCACCACCTCCACGGGCGAGCCCAGGCCCGGGAGGTGGAGAAGGTGCCGGGGGGGCATGTAGGTGTGGGTGAAGAGGAGTGTGTAGTGGGTGGGTAGGCTGGGGGGCGCAGGTGCATGAACCACCTGCTCCAGGTGCCCCAGGCCGGGCACTAGGCCCCCCTGATGCAGGCAGCCAAAGAAGAGGGCACCCAGGACATTGAAGAGGACCAGGGAGCCCTTGCAGGGCACAGGCTGGGTCTGTGGACTACAAAGCAGGACGAGGGGGACCAGGAGGGGGATCAGGAACCGAGCCTCCTGGTGGCTAAAGGCAGATAGCAGGGCCAGAGGCGTGAAGTAGAGGAGCAGGAGGTGAGACCCGGGGCCAGACAGCAGGCTCCGGCCCCCCAGAGCCCTCCGGAAGCGCATTTGTGCAAAGGCCCGGAGGCAGCCTTGCAGCTGTTGCCACGCCGCGCGCAGGGCCCGGGCATGCAGCATCCCGAAGAGCAGGAAACCATTGACTGCCAGGTGAGTGAGCCGCAAATGTGTGCCATGCCTCGCCAGGTTCTGAGGATCCAGGTTGTAGTACAAGAAGTTGGCAGGTGTAAGAACAAGGGTACTGGATTGAGAGGGACTGGAGAAATACCAGCTGTCCACAGCCACAAACACGGCCGCCACGAGGCTCGCCCCGGGGAGCAGCGCCAGGGCTTCCTTCGCCAGCGACCTGAAGCCAGGGTCTGCGGCCCCACAGGTGCTCCAGAGGAAGAGTGGGACCAGAGCAAAGGCCAGAAACGTGGGCCGGTTGAAGAAGCCAGCAGCCACGATGCCCCCCAGGAGCCAGCTGTGCGCCCACGGGCCCGGAGCAGGCTTCCTGGGTGTGGGGCTCCCAGCTAACCGGGGGGACACCAGCACCAGCAGCCCCGCGAAGAGCAGTCCCTCGATGGCGTTGGAGAAGGTCCTCGTGTAGAAGACCAGGGTGACATAGGAGCCAGAGAGCAGGACCAGGGCGTTCCAGCGCTCCGCCCCCCACAGCGGGGCCAGGCGGTACACGGCCAAGTCCAAGGCGAAGGAGAGGGCAGTGAGGAGGAGTCGGGGCCCCACCAGCAGCACGTAGCCACTCACGGGGCCCGGCCACGGCCCCCACTGTTCCCAGAGCCTGAGCAGCCAGAAGGCGGAGCCGGAGGTCAGCAGTGGGAAGAGCACCGTGCGGCAGGAGCTGCTGGAGTGGAATTCCCAAGGCCGCGCAGCTTCGACGCCCAGGATGTCCTCTGCGGACAGAGAAGCGGAGGTGAGCCAGGTCCAAGAGCAGGGGATACAGCCCCAAGATGCTCCCACCCCCTCGTGAGCGTGCCCCGCACAATCCCCGGGACTCTGGAGATGATGGGTTTTACTCCGGTGCTTAGGTTATGTGGCAGAGGACAGCGACCATTAGATAGGTGGTAACCCGGTGTGGGCCTGATGTAACCACACGGGCCCTTTAAAAGCAGAGAATTTTTTCAGCTGGTGGCAGAAGAGGACATCAGAGATTCAAACCTTGAGGACTTGATGCATGTTGCTGGCTCAAAGGTGGAGGGACCCCTGGCAAGGAACATGAGTGGCCTCTAGGTCCACAGCAGCAATAAACCGAATTTGTCCAACAGACGAGAATGAGCTTTGAACAGCTTCTCCCCCATAGCTTCCAGACAAGTACTCAGCACAGCCCAGACCTTGCTTTCAACTCTGTGACACCCTGAGCAGAGAGCGCCTACCTGACCTCTGATTTGTTAGGCAGCAATAGAAATGAATATAGGAGAGCTCAGCCCTTCCGAGGTCTCCCTGTGGAGGGGGCCCGGGGGAAGCACGCCTGGGAAGTGAGGGGACTATGTGCCCTGGGCAAGGTGTGTGGGGGGAAGGGGCAGGGGGAGGCTCCAGTCCCCTCCGTGGAGTGCTAAAGACTCCAAAGTCAGAGTCAAAAACCCATCCCTGTGATGATGGTTGTTATTCAGGACAGGCGCGTGAGGCCGGGGAAGGGAACGAGCGATTACGGTTATGGTCAGAAGCGACTTTGGTGTTGTCTGTGATACTTAAGATGTTTAGAAGAGTGTATTCAAGCAGTACTCATGTAATTAAAAACCTGCTTGGCTTCCTGGGGCTGGTCTGGGCTCCTGTCCCGCAGTGTCTCAGAGCTCTGAGGGGTGGGGGTGAGCGAACCCAGCTCTTAATTTCTGCATCTCAGCTCCAAGCCCCACATCTCAGCCTTGATAACACTGTTGGCTGCTTGGGGCTCTTGACTTCTACTTATTCCTACAGGCTCTTCGCTGTCTTCTCTTTCCATGTCAGAAGGTGAAGGGGAGCGGCGCCTGGGTGCCTCAGTCGGTTAAGCATCTGACTCTTGATTTGGGTTCAAGTCATGATCTCAGGGTCCTGAGATCCAGCCCTGCTTGAGGCTCCGTGCTCAGTGGGGAGTCTGCTTGAAATTCTCTCTCTCTCCCTCTGCCCCTTGTGGCTAAAATAAATAAATAAATACCTTAAAAAAGGGAAGGTGAAAGGGAAACAAAATCAAGGTCAGATCAATCTGTCTTTTTTTTTTTTTTTTACTGGCTCAGGTTAAAAAAACTGTGGCAAAGACTGGACCTTTCACCTGAAGAAACAAATCCAGCTGTGAGCCCTATGGCAGGGCCAGCTGCATGTCTCCCCAGTATCCATTGCTTCCTTCCTTCCTTAGTCTCTTTAGTTGGGCATTTGGTCAGATATAAAGACTATTTTTCAGCTTCCTTCACAGCTAGGTGTGTTCACGTAATACATTCTGACCATCGGGATGGAAATGAGCAAAAAGTATGTGACATTCAAAATACGCCCTTAAAGAGGTGTCTGGCTCACTCAGAGAAGCATGTGACTCTTGATCTTGGGGTTGTAAGTTTGAGCCCTACGTTGGGTACAGAGATTGCTTAAAAATAAATCTTAAAAAAAAAATATATGCCCTTAAAGAGAGCAGGCATGCCCATCTCCTCTCCAGTGGCTGGAAAGACTTCATTTTAGACTTGATGGCTGGAGCTCAAGCAGCCATTTTGAACCATGAGGAGGAAGCCATGTGCCCACAGCATCTGAAAAGCCTCACAGTCCCTGGCAACCATTCTCATGATGTATCCTACACCCCTCTGCAGATAAATTCTAACAAGTGAGCATTCCAGGCCTGGATTCCCTTACACCTCAGATGAACCTAGAGAAGAAAAGTTTCAGTATCTCAGACCACAGCCCTGTGTAAGTTTCCCAAGCACCCAGGAAGCCCAACTCTAAAATCTCTCCACTGAGAAGTCCGAAGCAGCTTTCACTATGAATAACCTGTACTGTTGGTCCAAGCAGGAAAACATCAAAGAGAATGGCGTTTCATTAGTATCATCCAGAAGGTCAATGTCACCGGTCAGGAAGGAGATGTGAAATCCCCACACCTAAGTTCTTATTCCAGAGAGGCGCATGGATTTACTGCTCAATCACACAGATGTAGTTTCTCCCTCCCCCTGAATATCCAAACAGCAACAATCCAGACTTTGCTGCAGCTTAACTTAACCGCACGCAGGGAATTTACCTGCCATGACCTCAGGTGATTGGAAGAACTCATCCGGGTGCACGTAGCCTGTCTGTGGCAGGAGGCACCACAGCAGGCGGAGCAGGCTGAGGCTGCCCCACAGTGCCCGGACTGCCATCTTCAGATCAAACTGCTAGCCAAGACCCCACGCCAAGAGCCTAGAATGGCTTCTCAGTCCACTACAGATGCTGTTCTGGTTCCACGGACCTGCATCTGCTGAGGACAGCATTTGTTAGTTGTTATAAGATGAATCATAATATGTTCAGTTGTCTGAACAAACTCAAAACTCTACATACAATAAGAGCTGCTATTTATAAGTGCCCACTAAGTAGCAGAACTTCATGTGTGTATCTCATTTCATCCTTTCTACATTCTGGGGCCGTGGGTCTTACTATCGCCATTTTTAAAAAAGATTTTACTTACTTATTTGTCAGAAAGACAGACAGAGACAGAAAGAGAGAGAGAGGGCGCCTGGGTGGCTCAGTTGGTTAAGCGACTGCCTCCGGCTCAGGTCATGATCCCGGAGTCCCGGGATTGAGTCCCGCATCGGGCTCCCTGCTCTGCAGGGAGTCTGCTTCTCCCTCTGACCCTCCCCCTCTCATGCTCTCTCTCTCTCATTCTCGCTCTCAAATAAATAAATAAAATCTTAAAAAAAAAATTAAAAAAAAAAAAAAAAAGAGAGAGAGCGAGCAAAAGCAGGGTGGAGCTGCAGGCAGAGGGAGAAGCAGACTCGATGCGAGACTCCATCCCAGGACCCTGGAATCATCACCTGAGCCGAAGGCAGACACTTAGCCGACTGAGCCACCCTGGAGTCCTTTACTCTCTCCATCTTACATACAGGGAAACTGAGGCCTCTGCGGAATGACCTAGTTACTTGCTAACCATATTTGCTCGTGTCTAAATATGATATCTGCAAATGGGATTTAGAGTGGCCTCCAAATACAGGTCTCACAGCCCCATCCTGTTCACCAGCTCCTGTCCCCGGGCAAGCATGGCAGCCTGTCTCTTGCACTTCTGAAAACTTGGGGACCTCAGTGCATTCCATCCATTTCCCCACAAAAATAAACGACATTTGACACCATCTCCAGTCGCTCCCTCCAACCTTCGCCCGCCCTGAAATTTACCTTTGGAAGGTGATGAGAACTCACTGCAGTGGTCAGAACGTGTGTGCCCCACCCCATTAAGATGTTGAAATCCTAATGCCGGATGTGATGGTGTGAGAAAGGGGAGGCCTTTGCGAGGGGGCCTTTCTGGGTGGAGCCCTCATGAATGGGATTAGTGTTCTTAGAAAAGAGGCCCCGCAGGACTCCCTCATCGCTCCCATCCTGTGAGGACAGAGTGGGTGTGCTCTGTGCCAGGAAGAGGGCCCTCACCATGCCAGCGCCTTATCTTGGACTTCCAGCCTCAAATCTGTGAGAAATAAGCCACCCAGTCTGTGGTATTCTGTGATAACAGCCTGAGCACACGAAGACCCTTCCTCATCATGGGGATTCTTAACCCGCCCCCGGACTCAAAGATCAGTAGGAATCTGAGCCCATTGCATGATGGACCTATATCTCAGATATCAACACCCTCACATCATCTCTGGTGAACAGAAAAACAAGTTTGACTCTCCTCCAAGAATACATATGGTGACTGTTTCCTGACTTTGATATTTTAAAGCCTGACCTTAAACAGCCGTTGTTCTCAGGTGGAATATGTCACAGCAGAGGAGAGGAGAGAGAGTGAAGCAACATGACAGGAATCCAGCAGGTGCTGACAAGGAGCATTTCGATACTAATACCTCAAGAAGTTTGAAAGATAACTTTTGCAGTCTCTGCTCGAGCTTTTGGACTGAATTATACAGATTCTTTTTCAGTGCCAGTGAATGAATATCCTGACTTTTAGGGAGATAAGGTGAGGCTACACTTGGTGCTGGGATGCAAGCAAGGATCCCATTCCTCCCCAAGCAATGCCTGAAAGAGGACTTCAATTTCCTCCATTTTGGTCTTAGTCTGTACTTTATCACTGATTAAATTCTTCTTTCCAGCTTATCTCTTAATTCAGGCAAAAGACCCTGCAGGCAAAGCATCCCCTGAGGGGAACCAAACCTACCCCTTCAAGCAATTAGGACTGCCCTGAGCCAGCAAGCCCCATGCGACTGACCCCAAGACAATGGCCGACCTGACCTTTCCTGCCCACCTGCATAGTCCCATGTCTTCCCAGTGTTGGCCTCCCTGAAATAAATTCCTTTCCTCTTCCACCACCACTTGTCTCTCTGCCTTTGGATTTTGTCAGCAGAGAGTGGCTGAACCGGTCTATTGGGGACCCTGGGAGTCAGGGGCTTGCACCTCTGTGCCGCTCACATACCCTCACTTTAACTTTCCTTCCAGGCTAGGATTCAAAGTGCATTGTAATTTAGCAGCTCACACGATGAGATTATGAGTTTGGTTTCCAGCAATTTCAGCCCCGCAAGTAACAAGAGAGAAGCGTCTCTTTGGGGGCACACACAGGTCATTTTATGAGGATCTTGAGCTGGGAATTTGAGGCCCAGCAAAGGCATCATATACATGGTCACCCAAAGCCTTGCCTGGGGTATCTCAAATGCCATCACTCCATGGACTACCAGTGCTCTCTTTACCACTCGAAATAGTGCCTTTAAATCTAATCAGTCTAGACAACCAATTCCAGAAAACCCAGAACCTCTATTCAGAAAACTCATGAGATTCTGTTCCTCTAGAACCACTTACAGTTATAAAGTCCGTATTAGTCAGGGTTCAGCCAGAGAAAGAGAAACCAAACCATAGGAGATATACATTAAGATTTATTGCAAGGAATTGGCTTATGCATTTGGGGGGCTGCCTAGGCAAATCTGAAATCTATAGGGCATTAGGAAGGGCAGGCCACTCTGGGGCAGGAGATGAAGCTGCAGTCCACAGAGGGAAGTTTCTTATTCAGGAACATCTTGGTTCGTTCTAAAGTCCTTTCAACTGATTCTATCAGGTCTACCCAGATTATCTAGAATAACCTCCCTTATTTAAAGTCAGCTGAGGGGCACCTGAGTGGCTCAGTCGGTAAAGCGTCTGCCTTCAGCTCAGGTCATGATCCCAGGGTCCTGGGATTGAGCCCCACGTTGGGCTCCTTGCTCTCGGAAAGTCTGCTTCTCCCTCTCCTCCCTGCTCATGCTCTCTGTTGCTCTCTCTCTCTCAAATAAATAAATAAAATCTTTTTAAAAAAATAAAGCCAACTGATTGTGGACTTGCATTGCATCTACAAAATACCTTCACAGCAACATTTAGATTAAGTTTGATTAACTGGGGACTATCGTTTAGTCAAGTTGACAAAAAAACCCTGACCATCACATTCTAGATAATTCAGGGTTTATAACTGAATTTTATTTATTATTTATTTTTGTAAAAGATTTATTTATTTGAGAAAGAGAGAGAGAGAGTGGGGGGAGGGGCAGAGGGAGAGAGTCTCAAGCAGACTCCACACTGAGTGTGGCTCAATCTCATGACCCAAGATCACAACCTGAGCTGAAACCAAGAGTCCGACACCTAACCGACTGTGCCACCCAGGCACCCTTCTGTGTTTGAATTTTATTTATTTTTTATTTTTTAAAGATTTTATTTATTTATTTGACAGAAAGAGAGCAAGAGAGCACAAGCAGGGGGGGTTCAGAGGGAGAGGGAGAAGCAGACTCCCTGCCAAGCAGGGAGTCTGATGCGGGGTTCTATCCCAGGATCCTGAGATCATGACCTGAGTCAAAGGCAGATGCTTAACCAACTGAGTGACCCAGGCGCCCCTGTGTTTGAATTTTAGATCAATGGGATAGTTCTTCATGTAACCTACCAGTGACTCGTGTCTTTTATTCAAGATTCTGGTGATGGTATTCATGCTGTTCCCTGCAGGTCCTCTTCATTGCTCTGTGGTATTCCACTGGATGAATATATTAAAATTTTTTTATCGTTCTGACTGTTGTTTATCTGCTAGAGCATCTCCAGGTGTTGGCAAATTTTTCTATTCCTAAGAATGCTGCTGTAACATTCTTATACAAGAGTTCTCTGAACTACATACCTAGAAATGGAATCCCTGAGTCTTGGGCATGCATAATCTTAACTTCATTAAACAATGCCCAACGGTTTTCCAAAGGTCCTGCCAACCAGCAGATATTACAGTGTCCCCTGCTTCATATGCTGATTTATGCTTGGGATTGTCTAACATTTGATTTTGTGAATCTTGGGAATATTTACATGCATTTCCCTGATCACTAATGTGGTCAAACACCTTTTCAAATGCTTGTGGAACATTTTTGTTTCTTCCATGGGATCCCTTCTGGCCATTTTTCTTACTCTTTGTAGGAATTCTTTATATATTCTTTATATTAACTGCATGACAAATATCCTTTTCCAAATTGTGGCTTGTATTCTTAACTCATTTCTATTCCTTTTTTTTTTTTTCAAAGATTTTATTTATTCATTCATGAGAGAGAGAGAGAGAGAGAAGCAGAGGGAGAAGCAGGCTCCCAAGGAGCAGGGAGCCCGATGCGGGACTCGATCCCAGGACCCTGGGATCATAACCCGAGCCGAAGGCAGATGCTTAACCATCTGAGCCACCCAGGCGTCCGACTCATTTCTATTCCTATAATGTTGGTTTCTTATGCTTTCTTTTTGCTTCTTGATCCTTTTCACCAGCATTTTGTCAACTTTATGAATCTTTTTGAAAAATTGCAGGTGCCTTTTAATTAATTTTTCTTAGCTTTATTTTTTCCTTCTGTTTACTTTTTTTTTGGAGTATTATTTTGCTGTTTTATTTCAAACCTTTTAATATGGACACTTAGCTCATTAATTTTGAGCCTTTAACTTTTGAGCTCATTAATTTTTGAACCCCCTTTTTATGCGAAATATTTAAGATAATACATTTTTGTATATATATATACCATATCTTCTTTATCCCTTTAAATACTGTATTAACTGCATCTATTAACTATTAACAAGTTATGTTGTATAATCTTTTCATATTTTCATCACCTGTGGTTATAAATCTTTTCTAATTCTGAGACAGAGCAGGGACTGGACTGGAGTCCCCTCAATCCTGACCAGGAAATCCACTGTTCCTTGATAGCTGAAACCCTATGCCTCTTGACTAGCATATCTTGCGGGAATGCAGAAGCAGGATGCTTACCAAAGGAAGGGTTCAAACTAGTCTGCGCCAGGATGGACCCCAGCGCTGGCCTA